CTATGGTCTGCTGGGGTAATAATATAGTGTAAAGCGCATAGAGCCTGCTGTTGAGCGGGGATATGCGCTATACAAATGCTATCTATTATTATTATTATTATTATTATTATACAATTATCATACCATAGACATTCAATACTTCTACATGGATAAGGGTAAAAAGGCAAAAACGCAAGAGCTGATTAGCGACAACAAGAAGAATAAACTATCAGAGCAAAGACTCACGTGTCACAGGCCCGACCCAGGATGTTGTCGCTACGACATCGACACTGACCGGTCAGCTTGTCGCACACCTGGTCCACAGCTCCACCCACATTACAGTCACAAGGGACACAACCTGAAGAGAACCCATAAGTCTAGTTGTTGGAAAGTTTCATAGAAGAAGATTACTGCACTAAAGCAAACATGAAAAACTAATTAAGATCACCGTTTTATGCTGCTTTGGGTTTTTTCCAGAGATCTCAAAGCATTCGCCTGGACACTAAAAGCTGAGACTTGCCTCAGTCCCGACACCAATTTTTACAAAATAAATTTCACGACATTTTGAGAAACGGATCAAGAATTCAACTGAACACACACCAAGTTGAAAACTTATGTTCAGTCAAGAAAATAACATTACAATTCAAGAATCCTTTTAATTCGCCAGCAATTCAAGGTTCTCTTAAATTGCTTGATGATTCAAATTTTATTCACCAAAATGCATCTCCTTTTCTTCTTTATAGCATAATCCTTTATGTAGAAAAAATCAAGTAATTTACAAATGTTTGAATGCCAGAAACAAGAATATACCCAAAATGGGGCTCAAAGCCAGACTTTGAGCAACAGGGAGAGCAATAAAGATCTCTCCAAGACTGTCAGACAATTCAAATCCTGTTAACTGTGTTGCAAGGGGCATTGAACCTAAATAATTTGGTAATTTCACTAACTATAGAACGTTTGCAAATTTTCGAGGTCTGACATTGTCTTTCACTACTACATCATAATAAATGTTCAATCTAAGTTGAGCACACCATTGACATTATCTTGTTCTAATCCATAGTAGCCATCTTTGCACTTGTCACAAGCTCTGCCTTCCACAAAAGACTTGCAGTCACACTGTCCGTTGACATCAGGTGTACAGAGGGTACTTCCAACAACTGTGCCTGGTGTGAAGCAGTTGCAGGCTGAAAAAGATGCAATGGAAAAAAAATGTTTAATCAGATTTAATGAGATAACATAATAAGAATACAGTAGACTCCAGCTACAATCCAACTTCTTACGATCACGGTTTGCTAAAACCCTATTGTTTAAAAAAAAATTAAAATTTTACTACATAAAAGTCATCCCTATGATCCCACTCCGAAGGGACTAATTCTGGGTAAAATCCTGCATTTCAGATCATAATTTTCCGAACAAAAACTCGGGTGCACACAGCTGATCAACCAAGCAGCAAAAATTTGTGATCATGGTAGTGAATGCAATCACACCACCGTTGCAAATCTGACTGAGGGGGTACAATGTTGGCCACTGACAGAATCACACCAAGGTACAAATTTGTCGACTCGTTTATTAACTCCAATCATGGCACTTGCATAAATCAAATTTGACGTCAAAACTTTTGTTTCCCTGACCATCGCACTTGTCTTTCAGTTCTGCACCCAAAAAGATTGACGCCCATCCATACCCCGTGACTGTCCAATTGCCTTTATGATTAGACCAACTGTTGGCAGTGAACATGCCTTTGTTCTTTGAATTTTAATTGGGGCAGTCACAACACAGTGATGTGTTGCAAGATGAGCGAGAAATTCAGTCAGAGATGGAAAGCTATAAATTTTTAACCGGATAAGGGGATGAGCAATGGGATGGACCTAGGTCTTGTGACTCACAGTTGGATAAGTAATAATGGCACGCCTCATTAAATTAAGAAGAGACCATTGTGATTGTCATCAAGGTTAACCACTCTTTTCTCTCTATAGGTTACAAGGGGCCACATCAGTTCATTTCAAGATAATGGGAAATAATTTTACCGATGGTGGGTCTAGCCATAAGTAATTGTGGATACTTCCCCTTTATGATTCGGTTATGATCCTGTTCGCCAAAGATTCTGCATTTTCCTTACTCCCTTGAACCAGGATTTTAGGAAGAGACTATTGCAGTAGAACATTACAGGCACTAACTAGCTGTGATAATTTACTTGATGAGAAACATAACTGATAATGACCTAACATAATAATCAATTTTAGCTGTAAGCTGCCCAAGATTACACCTTGAAGAGTTAAAATTAGGACCAAAACTTTATTGTCTCTATCTGCGATAAAAATTTGACGACAAACCTGTGCAGCCTTCATCATTTTCTCCATTCAAGTTGTAGAATCCTTGCTTGCATACATTACATTTTGAACCTTGAACATTTTCTTTGCAGTAGCAATCACCAGGGAGCTGCAGAATGCAACAAATAATTTCAAAAAATAAATAAAAAGATAGGTAATCATTGTTACAGTTACTTTTTAATATCATCTTAGTAACTGTTATCAAAAAACAGATAATTCAGCAAGGCAAGCAGGAAGGGGAGAGTTAAGGGGGGGGGGGGCAAGAGACAATGAAAGAAGGAGAGAGAAAGAGAGAGAGAGAGAGAGAGAGAGAAAGAGAGAGAGAGAGAGAGAGAGAGAAAGAGAGAGAGAGAGAGCGAGACCTAAGGGTGAAGAATGAGAATGTGAAAGGAAAAGGAAGCTGGAGGGGGAGGGGGAGAGAGAAAGAGAAGAGTGGGGGTGGGGGGGACAGTGAGAGACAGAGAACGAGAAAGGAAAAAGGGTGGGGAGGGGAGAGAAAGAGAGAGAGACAGAGACAAAGACAGAGAGAGAGAGAGATAAAGGGACAGAGACAGAGAGAGAGAAAAAATGCTGGAGTTGATACTGAGTAGCTAACTTCAAGCCATCTGGACAATAATAACTCAGAAAAAAACCCAAAGCAGGGCACCACCAATCAACAAAGCACAGCCATCCTCCCTCACCTGTACAGCCCGTGGAGCTAAAGGCATAGTGGTCGGGGGCACACTTGGAACACGTGCGCTCCACAACGCCAGGCTGACACGGGCACTGGCCCCCGTTCTTCTCACACTCCACACTGATGCTACCAGTCACATCACAGTCACATGACAGGGGGGCCATCCAGTAGAACATTGTGATGGTCAGTAATGCCTCCTCACACGCAGCAACTAATTGGGGGTCACTTGGCCTAGAAAATATTATTGTCGAGTTGCAGTTTGAAACATCAGACAAAATGAACAAAGGAAGATTGATAACATTTTTCCAAAACTACTGGCGTCAGTAAGACAGGTAACATTTTCCAAAGCCTTTGGTATAAGACCAAGATATCAATGTCACTCTGGAAAACCAATTTCATTTTAAAATTCTAAAGGTAGACAAGGACCAAGTAAAACCTGTTTACTAGCAGCTCCAAAATTACAAAGCAAGAATGCAATGAACATTTTTATACTACCTTAAAAATTTGCTTTACTTTTTGTCCCTATTGAGTCCATTAAAACATCACAACTGTTAACTTATATCTGATGAGATTTTTAAAAAGTAGAAAACCTATTCAAATTGGAACCTTGCAAAATGCATATTCTAATATCATGAAGTAACTCCAATTTGAATTAGTAGCACTCTTTCAACACTTGCATCTACATATGTAAAGAATTAGGTAGTAAATTATCAATGAAAATAAGAGCTGAACATACATTGTATTTGTTAGGAAGTTGCACCCAGCTGGTAACGGGGACTGCAAGACAGTTTCATACGTGATGTACTCCTCGGGAAAGGCAACAACTTTGTCCTGTTCACACGGGTGACAAAAAATGTAATCAATGTCATGGAAAGAAGAAAAAAAAAGAAAAAACATGTAAAGACTAGTGGTATTCACTATTCTGCTTGAGTGGAAGAAGGGTTCTAAAAAGAACTACTTTCTTCGCACCACTGAGGGTAACATGCATTATAAAAGGGGGAGAAAAAGAAAAAAATACAAAAGTTATTTAGTGTCTCAGTAAATGCATTTTTACTAAATACTTCAAATCAGGCCAAAACCCATTTAAATTCTTCTTTCCAGTTTAAAATACTCACCTGTGGACAGACTATCACAGTTCTACTCACAAACAACTTTGATCACCCATAGAATACAACTTTTAGTTTTAGTAAGAGATTTACAGCACTTGCACCACAAATAGGTCACATAAGTGCTGAAGATTAGAGGTGTTACTACTAGAGAGAGACATACAAACAGAAGAAGGAGGAGAGATAATGAGGAGAGATGTTCGATTGGAAAGAATGTGCAAATAACCACACCAGAACACCTGCCAACCACTCATGAGAATACATCTTACCAAGAAAACCTGACCGGAGGTTAGTGTAAAGGAAATGAGGTTTGGTCCTTCAGAGAAGTTGAATCTGCCAATGTTGACAGTGGTGGCTTCACACCATACACTTGAGCAGTGTGGCAAGGGAACTTCCATCGGTACTACAACACCTGTCACCAGAGAGAGAATATTGACTCTTAGTATACGGAAGGCTATTTCTCCTTCGTAAGCAGCCAATTTTTGTCATTCAAGTTTTCAGCACCACAAAATTCTCCATTACTCCACTCCTATTCAGCCTATTTGTATAAAATAAATGCCAAACTGAGTGGAACAGAATTATCCAAGCAGTAAATGTACAGTTAGATTATAGATAAGATGGATTTACTCAGTTGATTCTTGTTATAACAGTAAAAAACGAGCGATGCTATGTGCCAGCTGAACTGGCACATTGTGTACTAAGAGTTGAACTATAACTTTTAGTTATCAGCCTTTCTTGTGTGATCAAAACATCATTTTTAACAAATCTTTTACTCTATTCAGTGCATCATCTTTCTCTTTTTGGCACTAGAGGTTGGCGACAGACATAACAAGAGGCAGTTGTAATATTTTATATAAATTGAAAGACTCACATGAAAGACAACGTCAGTGTTCTCTTAACATCTGAACAATACTGATGCTGCTGCTCCTAAAGATGACAATGATTATAAATCCCAAAGAGAACACATTTTGTCCCTCTGCTGCTAAATTTGTATTTAAGATTATACGTGAAAGTGGGAGGAATTATTCAAGATTCTCATTTCTACTCTTTTCAGAGATAGAGACAATGATGAAGATGGAAATTCTTAAATACAATTCTTGTTACACAGTGTCAATTTTCAAGATTCACTTTACTTTAGAACAAACAATTATGATGGAGTTGAAGATGATACCAGTACAATAATGATCAGTATTTTAAAAAAAAAGAAAAAAAAAGTATCTCCTGACCTCCTGAAGTGGATTCAATGTTGACACTTCTCGGTGTGGTATCGCCTGACAGTGTGCGATATGTGATGATCAGGAAACACTGATTGCTGAACTTGGTGCCCTCTGGGATTTCCAAGAGTATCGTCAGTGTTTGCTACAAAAGAAAAAAACACAATTAATGTCTCTTAAAAGGAACCATTTTCCTCAATATTATGTAAGCCCAAAACTAAAACACGAAAAGAAATACATTAATTGCAGAACCCAAATGGTGTGTAAGTCATTTAAATAAATATGGTCGACTCTGTTCTAATAACCACCTGTCAAAACAATTACCTGTACAAACAAATATTTATTATATAATGACACTGTCCAAGAGGACCACCTGTTTAAGATGATGATTTTTTTCACAGACAATGGGTGGTCATCTTGGACAGGTTTGACTGTATACTCAAACAAAGAATGTTCTAAAAGACTTCTCTATTTGAGATATCAAGCAAAACATCTTTAACAGCACAGGAACATTTGCAGAAAAAAAGAGTGTTTGATATTCTTTAAGGGAGTGATATATTTTCTATAAAATGAGTGGGATCCGAGACTGTTCTAAGAGGACCTGTATTTCCAAAATTTCAAAAGCATTTTGATTTATGGCAAACTAAAAATACTATAAGACAGACTTGGCAAGCAAAACTGTCATTAAAAACACATGTTTTACGACGTGGTGGAATCAGGCGCTCGTCAATTTTTGGGCATATGGGGTTATTGGAATCATCTTAAAGATGGTGAAAAAAAAATCAATTATGTCTGGTAACTTCTATAGCCTGAGAGTCCTTGGAAACTGACAGTTTACATTTTATCTGCCTTTAAATAATTTTTTTCAGTAAAATCCACACAAAAATGTGTTTCTAAATGGGCATAAAAGGTGTTGAGACAAAAATAGAAAATTAGAAAAAAAATTGCCATCGGTCAAAAAAATGCCGATTTCTTTGATTTTATTATTTTGATGAGCGCCTGATTTCACCACGATGCCTCACATATTATTGCTTTTCAACTGTAACCACGTATCTTTCAATTGAGGTAAACACTTTTTCACAGAAAAAAAGTCTTTTATTTTCTTAGTATCTTCCAAAATTGCTAAATGTTTTGTGTAGAATGTTCTTTTTACTTGTTATGGTACCACCAACAATTGTAATTATGTTTATAAATAATGTACCCAGAGACCAAAAAAAAGTGTCTGACCTAATTTGGTGGACACTTGGTCAGAATCCCACACCAACGATATGTAATGTATCTCTATAATTCTCTGTCACTTATGAACTCAGAATCTTGGACTCACCCCAGAAGAAACCACAGCATAACCTCTCCCTGAGAATCCACTGTACAGGGGATCTCGCTTCCAGCTCACTTGTCCAAGACTATCTTCCAGTTCTTCAGCAACTGCGTGAGTGCTTGGGTGATAGAATCCTGAACGAATCCTAAATAAAAAGAATTTTTAGAAATTAGAACATATATGGTTTCAGATCACATGTATATTTCTTTCTAAAAGAAGCAAATTACTTTTAGTTTTAGAAGAGTTTTTATGGCGCTTGCAACTGCATAAGGTCATATGAGCATCAAGACGTGGATGTCAATAGAGAAGTCCATAATACAGGGAATCAGGCTTACTCTGCTCACCTCTCTAGCTTCAACAGCACAAAGTCTGCTTTGACTATCAAGGCACCCCAGAAATAAAGGGTCACAATAGAGTGACAAACATACAAAAGAAGTAGAGGAAAATTGACGATAGTAAGGATTAGGAAAACAAAAGCAGTTCCTCGTATGCAGTTCAGGCACAGTTATGAGCATGATATTGATGAATCAGCCCATTTATAATTCTACTGAGCATAAGAACATGTTAATATCCCCCCTTTGGGAATTGCCTAAAGACACTTCAGTCAGTAGCACCGCCCAAGGGGATACAAACTACTTTAAAGTACTGCAAACCTCTGAACCTGTTGCATATATCATGAATGTAGAACAGTTGATCAGCACTCTAGTCACTTTTTTAAAAAGTTGCTCAAATGTTTCTCAGAGCACATTTTGGTATTTTTTCTGATGCATTCAAAATTATCAATCAACTTTTATTTACTTTACCACTTTACTTGCAAGACCTCAGCAACATCTTTTCATTGACAACACCCAGCATTACAAGACATTCTCCTTCCGCAAAGCAGGGGGTCTAAAGGCAAAAGCCAAAGAGTTGTTGAATAAACCACAGCAAAATTAAAAAGCTGTCAGGGCAAAGAC